CTATATCTGACTCTTTTAGTTTTAGGACTTACCAACAACCGTTATGTGAACAAAACTATAATACTCTCTTTAGCAACTTTGTTGCGAGAGTATAAAAATTAGTTGAAGTTTGATTAGATATACGAAAAGGCCTTCTCGACTACCCAACATGTAGTTTATCAGATATTGGATACTACAAGTAAAGAATGTTTGGTGACATTTCGACTGCTTTCTTATTTGTAAAATGCTGAAGTACATTATAATACTTTTAACAAAGAAGATAAAATATTATGACTTATGTATATACAAGTATACGCCTCTATCTTACGACTACAACAAACGCCTGTAAACTGCATTACAAACCGATATTCATAGGATATTTGCAGTTTGCAACAATCATACATTTTCCTAACAAGTTTCAAACAAAACCCTCATCCACACACCATGTTTTACAGCCAGATTCGAATTTGCTTTGGTAATCGCTTAATTAACCTCCACTCACTCATTTCCAATTTATTAATTCGCCGCKCATAACCGAATTTAATGACGTGCCGGTGAGGCGGATGAAATAATCAAGTGAGCGAGATAAAATTGATTTACTCTAYTTAGATACATATATACTGTATGTTTGTTTATGTGCCTGCATGTGTGCAATGCGGATACATATACGATTGTTTTGTTGTTGGCGGATGGCCAGATAACCACACTGTCTCCTGCATGCATTTCCACTTCCATTTTCAATTTCGCTTTACTTCCGTTTTTATTGACTAACACAATTTCTTTGGCTAGATTTTCTATTGCAATTTTTTTATTTCGTTTATTGCGATTTTAATTGAGTTGATTGGTTTTGGTTTTACCCTCTGCTATGAAAACTGCTTGCATGAGAGCGGCCAGTGCATGAGAGGCGCGTGGATTGACCTAGATGTATGTATATAGTAGCATTTACTGAGGTTAACTTTTTTTTAAAACTGAAGTGGAGATTGCCTTTCTTTTATAAACATTGTAGAGCTAAAATTCCATTCAGAGAATTTTCCTAAATTTTGTGTTATTTAATAAATGGTTCGGATATTTATTATATCTCTAAGTGAAACATGTAAGAACTCATCATATCGTATMCGTACACAATACATGTTCTTAATACAATTTTCATTTTTCTCGACTAATTGCCCTCTTCCGATGGGTATGGAGTATAAAAAAATTTCATTGATCCTCATCAGTTAGTTTTAAAGGCAGCTATATGCTACTGTTGTCCGATACGAACAAAATGTTCTTGACTTGAATYAAATGGATCAGTTTGTATGACAGCTACCAGGTTGTTCCATAAGTTTTGCCATTCGATAAGAACTCTTCATATGAACATATGTGAAGGAGGTTTCATTTCAATTTGTCGATTCATTCTTTGTTTACAAGCCATTTAGTGYCGCCGTGCCAAAGTATTTTTTTGCAATGGAAAAAATTGAATATCGTGCAGTGATAAAATTCTTATTTTTAGAAGGTGTAGCACCAAAAGAAATTCACGAACGAATGTTAAAAGTGTATAATGATTGTTCACCTACAACTAGAACAGTAGAAAGATGGGTTRCTGAATTTATAGGTGRTCGTACACATCTTGAAGASGATCCACGTGAGGACGTCTAAAAAGCGCATCAACAATAGAAATCATAGCCAAAATATAGGATATGGTTTTGGAAGATCGTCGATTGACTGAGGGAAATTTAGTAGAAGCTCTAARCATCGACTGGGCAGGGTAGCCATACTTTAAGTGAAATTTTGGGTTTTAGAAAACCGTGTGCTCAATGGGTGCCGCATTCGCTAACAATGAAACAAAAAAACGTTTGAATGCGTCTTTCTCAGCAAAATTTGGAGAATTTTGAAAAGGATAAAGTGTATTTTGTATGTCGATTTATCATTATGAATGAGACTTGGGTCTATCACCATGATCCGGAATCAAAACAATAGCTTAAAGAGCGGTGTGAACCTGGTTGTTCGGCTTCGAAAGGCGTTTGTGTCCGGAAATCGGCCAAGAAAGTTATCTTTTTTGGGATGCAAGAGGAATTTTGTTTGTGGATTACTTGCAAGTTGGTAAAGCAGTTAATTCTGAATATTATTGCGACCTTTTGGACTAGTTGAAAAAAAAAATTCGTAAAGAAGACCCGGTTTGCAGAAAAAGAAAATCTGTTTKCATCAGGACAATGCACCGTGCTACAAGAGCATTTTGACAATGGCTAAAATCCATGAATTAAAGTTCAAATTGGTCATCAGATTTGTTTCCAAACCTTAAAAACATCTATGCGTGCCAAGCGTGTTTCATCAAATGAAAAGGTCATAACGGCTGTTGAACCGGATTCTCACTTCAGAAATGGGATCCACAGATTGGAGGATCGTTAGAGCAAGTGTTAATGTTCGGAGAGATTATACTGAATAAAAAATTATGTTTTGAATCCTAAAATWGTGTTTTCTTATCAAACGACAAAACTTATTGAGCAACTGGTATATGCTGTAGTGGTACAGTATTGGCGGTTAGGAAATTAGAATAGCTTCCTGGTGAGACCAGAACGAGTGCGAAATTTCTGATTGGCATCTCATCTATCGATGAAGGATAAATTGACTCAACAAGTCACGCTGATCTTGCTCCAACCTTGCCTTTGGGTGTTACAAATCTCGTGGCAAAAATAATATACCCTCTTCAGGGTATAACAATTTTAACCGAACAACTCTTACAAACCAGTAAAAAATAAGTAAATAGAAGAGTACACTTGTATACGCTACATGATATTTTCAAAGGTTTCCCGGAATATTATTATGGGGTCCAAAGAATTTTATTTTCTAGGTGTTGTTAGTTTTGGATTAACAATTTTTTCATACTTCGTCTTCGTTAGTCTTAAAAGGTAGAATCACGAAAATAATAAAGATCTACCTCCAACATAACCATCCCAAATCGATGCAGAAATATCACCTTTACCCAACTGAGATAGCAACATTTCTGATTTCGAAAGAAAAACGCCTTGGAGAGAGTTTTGATACTATTCAAGAATTTATTTACCCACTAAGTTTAGCTTTACATAGTTAAGTAAGTGGAGTGTGCTTTCGTGGTAACTACATACGTACATACATTGGTGCCTACATTTTGTAGACACTGCTAAAATCCATACTTAACTCACTAAGGTCTTTTAGTATTTACAAAAGTTGCGAGTTTCTCTCCGCCGCTCTTCTAAAAYTAATTTTTATTATGCTGTAGGAGCTAAAACTAAACGGATAGCGATATATTAATTGAGTATTTTGATTCGAGCATTAAATTTGTATGTACTTAATCGTAATATAATATATATGTATGTATGTATCTATGTGATGATGATACAATAGCACAGAGGCATGCTAATAGATAGAATTCTATCATACAATTTATCTAGAGGCTACTCATACACATTTTCCATTTGCCAGTGTGCGTGTATGTGTTTATTTGTATTTGTGTTTGTGTTGGTTTTGCTTACATTCGATCCCTATTAAAATACGACAATTATTTACTAATTAAAATCACTAATCGCTGCAATACATCAAATCAATTATAAATACAATTCAAAATAGAAAGCGAGTTGRTGCCTGGTCTTCYATGACTCCACCGCAGATAAATGTGTGTGTGTGTGTCAGCGATGGTGGGGCGGGGAATGCTTAGACCATGGCCAGGCCTTTGTTGAGGCTTTCCAAGTGTTCTTTTGCCTTGATGCGCAGCGTCGCTATGGAATTGGAGCGTATATCCGCCGTCTGCGGTTGATTTGCCGAAATCGGCGACTGCCGACTGATGGGATTGGTTGTGGTGTTGTTGTTGAGTGCATGGCCTGGCGGTGGGCTGTCGCGCCCCACGTCGAGCAATTCCATGCCGGCAGCATGGGTTTTACCGTGGCCACCGCTGCCATTGCCGCCGCCGCCGCCGTGCATTGSTTCGTTCGCGTCGGTACTTGTGGTGAGATTTTGTGGTGACTGCTCCAAAGCTGTCGGTTGAGTCGCGCGTTGTGATGGTGAGTTGAGCGCGGTGGCTGACGATGCGGTCGGCATTGATGACAGTGGCGGTGGTAGTCCACCGGACATGCTACTTGCCAATGGCGAAAGTGCTGTCCGCATGCCGACTGCATTCGGGGGGATGGCGGTGGGTGCATTTGCATTCGCGATGGCCGCTGCTGTCGCCGACGCYGATGACATCGACGCGGACGATGATGACGTAACTGACGTGGCAGTTGATGAACTCAGCTGTGGTGGCATTGTGGCCAAACTCTGTGGTGACATGCGGGACAAATGTGGTGATAAATGTGACAATTGTACATGATGACCGGGGTGAGGAGCGCCGCCTAGTGCTGATGGTGGCGGTGGTGGTGGTGGGGCGCCTGGATGCCCGGTGGGTGGTGGTGGGTGGGCAGGATGCATAACGGGGCCATGTGGTGCATGACCCATGGCAGCCAGACTGCTCATGGTCAGATTGGATGGAGCCAGACTAAGTGGGGGCGTCAAATAGCTGGGATAGACGGTCTGCGGGTGTGAAAGGAAACCTGCCGAAGGACGAAGTTGGATGTGAATAGAGAAAAACTTGAATGTGAATAAAAAAATAGTGAAATGCTAATTGGATTACAGTTAATGATGCAAATGAYTTAATAGTTACCTGGCAGTGCCGAGAGAAGTGGCGGTGATAACCACGGRTCCACTGGCAGACCGCCGGCGCCACAGCCTAAACGATGGGGCAGTTGAGTGAAGTGCGTGAGACCCAAGCGCAAGCTCTCCGATTTCTCTTGACGACGCCATTTAGCGCGACGATTCTGGAACCACACCTGAAATAAAGAAAATTCCAAAAGTCTTAATCTTTTCTGCGACTGTTTAAATAACTTTCATGATGAGATATTTCTTCGGTGTAAGTTACTAGTACTAATACTCCATCAATAACCACAAAGGGAGAAAATGACACCATTTTGTGGCTCTTCCGCCTTTTCTACTATTTCGAATGGTCATTAAGTAAAGCAGACCTGCCACTCACACACACCCAACCAACACCCGCACTTAATTACACTTCAACGAGCTTAATTGCAACAACAACATCAGAAGTGAAAACAAAATGGCGGCACTACTCATTAGCGAGGAAAAAATGCAGACATTAATAACGAAAATAGAGGGACAAAAAGTGTGGGAACCTCAAAACGAACATACGAACATAACGGAGGCGTAGCGGATCCCTTGGTGGGGTGAGTAACAAGCAAAGAGCAGAAGATAAAATTCAATTAGTGCTTCGGCACTAATTAGAATTATCGTAACAATGAGTTTGTAAGATTTATAGAGCGACTTAAGAAATCCACAATCTGCGCAGACGAGCTGAGAGGGGATATGTTGCGCTCTGAAAGTGACAGACAAACAAACGCATACATACTATACATATACATTTTCCTAATTAGTACGCTTCGGCATAGTGAGAGAGCGGATTGGCGGTTTGTGTAAATTACTGCTACAATACTAAGAGAATTGGTAACACAGAGAAAGTGAGAGAGACGGGGAGAGCGTAGAAAAGAGACAGTGGTTAACTTTAATTCCCTGTGAATGACAGTTTGCCCCACCAAGCACTCAACACCCACACAGGTCTCATCTCGCCGTCCGTGCAGTCGGCAGCAGGACACGTAGCAATTGACGACCGTAGACTGGCGYACAAAGTAATTATTTACAATTTACGCGAATTAATAGGAATTATAATGATGGAAATTGAATTTCAGTTGCTGTTGGTGTAAGCTGGGAACCTGCGTCGGCTGGCAGGTGTGGAAGAAGTTAAGTAGGTGTTTGTGAAAAAAGAGAAGAAATGTGGTTTAATGCAGGCTGTGAGATTATCGGATGGTTTTATTTACTTATAATGAGCGCACGTTGATGAGAGAAAATTATTTGACTATAAAGTTGTAATCATTGCATATTAAATTTTTCTTGAGATGAAAATGCAATGTTTGAAGCTAAGGGAGTGCTTTACTCTTTTAACATAGAAAGCTATATATTTATTTTTTTCATGAATATCAGGTATCTAGGCAAGGCCATTTTCATGGCACAGATCTTTGGGGGAGTACTGCAGATAAATAATAAGGCACTATTGATTGATGGATGGCTTAAATTTAAACTTCATATCGAGTGAGAAAATTTAATTTGAGTAAATTTCCTTATGAGTACTATATAAAAGAGAAAATATATTTTAATATCGTACCAGAAAAAGTATCAATCATTCCATATTTTTCCTTCGGAAAGAAAAAGGAAGAATCTTAGGCGGTTACATGGGTTTAGAGGTTTCAAAAAATCGATTCTTTTATTGTCTTATTAATTTCTACAATACCATTAGTACCTCTGGTAGCCTGGAGAACTTGTGCGCTCGAGGCTAACTAGGCCAATTGCATCGTCTTTAAACACGTTTTTCTCGAAACTGTGGTTTTGAAGCCGGTTGGTAAGATTTCTCAAGAACTATTCAACCGATCTTCATGAAATTTTACACAGGCCTTTAAGTTACGATTCTTAAGGACTTGGATATTTTTTGCGATTACAACTATTTGGAGAAAAAATCGCGAAATTTTCATTTAAAATTTAATTCTTTCGTAAAAATGTCTGCCAAAAATCCAATTTTGAGTCTTATTTTTCCTTTGCCCAAGTTCTAGGTTACGGTTTTAACCAAAACGCGTATTTTTTTCACTTTCGATGTTCCTGTAAGGATTTATCCCGCCAACACGGGCATATCTCTCTTTCGCGGGATCCCCGGAAACGACGTCGCAATGGCCGAGTTTTAAATGTTTTTCCAAAAATTTCAGAATTTCTTCGTTAATATTGCACGTTTGTATCAATAAAAAATTACATATTTTATAAGAAATTTTTATGAGAAAAAAATTGTTGAAAAAGGGCTGTTTTTCCCGAGGTAACATTTGTAACCCCTTAATCGAAGTAATAATAAAAAAACTGTGCCGCAGCTATATTACACTTCATAGGTGCTTTCTTTAACCGTTAGTGGCTGGTGACCGATATTTGTGCTGAATTTCGGGAAGATATTTTATTTGATGAAAAATATTTCCAAAGAAGATCTTGAATTTGATCGACCTGTTTGTATATGTTATTATAGTTTCTTGGAAAGAAGCACTCTTTGCTGTTTAGACTAATATCCTAATATCTCAAAAACTGAGTAACTAGTTCGTGTATATACAGACGGACGGATCAAATTCCATAGCACTAATCATTAGGGTCATCGACGTTTCCTTTTGAACGAACTTTATGATATTGACTGTCCCTATTTATTAGGGAAAATTAACTTCAATGCTCCCCAACGTTGTCTCAGATCTATTTCCCCATTTTATTATATAAAGGAAAGTACTAACTTTGCTGAATATGCTTCTCTCAAGCGACAGTTTAACTCGATTTCCGAAAAAGTTCTTCTTGATTTTTCTCACTCTARGGTATCCTTCATTAATACCCTAAATTCTGTTTTTTAGTTTAAGTTAATTACTTATGTACTTTTAATTGAATTATTTTAGAATTCTATTTAGCATCCTAATTTTCCATTAGTCTGTAAGAATTAATGTTCATAGACTTAACTAAATAAATAAATAAATATGAGTATGAGGCGAAAACGAACACACATTCGCATTTCACCTACAGCTTGCATTATTCTTTACTGAACTGGTAAATTTTTGAGTAATCGAATTCAAGAAAGAAAAACTAAATCCATATCCTTTTATATTAAATCGCACACATTATCCGTTTTGTGAGGAATTAGGAATTTGCCACAGTTAGCTGGAGTATATACCATATAAACAAAATGTGTATGTATGTATGTGCGTGTTTAGCTCACCGCAGCACGTCAGCTTTGCTTGCCTGTTATAATTTGCGTTTGTGCTTCTTCATTTTAATTAAATCATCAAAATCAATTTTGTAATTTCCATTCATGGCGCGCCATAATGAAAATAAACACAAGCACATACACAACAAATACAACGTGGCGTAGAGCACACATATAAATACAATCACACCAACGCCATGCATGAAAAATGCCAATAAGTGAGAGGCTGAAATACCGCCCATCTTTTAATAACCTCCACCCCCCGAGCTGCCAAATGCCAATCAACCACCCACAATTGCAGCCCAACAACCATTTAAGTGCGCAGATAACGGTATAAGGGTGGTGCAGTAAGGCAGGGATGCTGTGCAGCTAGGGTCGAGAGAATGCGTCACTCTCGCTCTCACGCGCCAGTAACCGTTATGCTGGCACTCTCGTTTTGTTGAAGTCAGTGTAATTTGGGGTTGCTCATAGCAGTTAATTCTCACTAGATGAGCTCCCGCTCTCCATCTAATTATGACGCTGTAGCCCCCCACTCCACCAGCAATCAACTCTTCGGAGTGAGTGAGTTTATTTGTACGCATCTCGGCTGGCGACGTCAACCACTTTTCAACTTTAATCTTTTTCATAAACTTCGCTCGGCGCCAGTCAGCAATTTGGGTAGTTTTTGTTTGGATGCTTATTTGTTGTTGTTGTTGTTGTTTTTCTGTTAAATCGTGTTGTCTCCACAGCACCACCGTACCCGCCTTCGACCCCCTCCACACTACACGCTTCAAAGTTTGCAATTTTATTGGAAAACTTCTTTGCCAGAGGCATCGCAAGGCTGGCACACCCACATCCAACCACCAAGCGAAGCCCGCCGCCCACCACCCAGTGAGCCAGCGGACAGCGAGTTACGCACTCTCGTTGAATTTGCCGATTGCGTTGCGTTTGCGTTTCTTTTTCGGTGCTGCTGTTGCTCTTGTTGTGCCTTTTATATTATGTGTGTTATTGTTGTTGTAATTGAATCGTACACCTTTCGAGATTGCTGGCCAGCACGAATATTGGAGGACCTCGCCGCTGAGGGGACGAGAACCACTTCGGAAGGGCAAACATCAAGGGAATTCAAAAGTGAGTTAACAGCGCAGCCAGGTGAGCGAAGGGGAAGGGGATTTGGGGCTCCCCACAGTATGTGTACATGTCTGCAGCGTACGATGTTTCATAAAAAGCGAGCTGCGTGCTTGGCTCGGTGGAGAAGGGTCTGTGTGCGGCTGAGGCAAGCAACCGAGCAGGCAACCGAGCGAGCGAACGAAAGAACACAAATTGCTTTTCGAATGTTTCTGACAGTTTGCAAATTGGAAAATTGACTTTTAACACACAAGCGTTGCAGCTTAATAAAAGCGTTTCGACCTTACAAGCGCAATTGTGTGCGCAGCCAGGCAACAACGACGACGGCAGCAGCAGCAGCAGTAGTGCCAGTAAAGCCAGCGCTGACAACACACTCACACCATTGACAATGGCTAACACACACATACCCAGATGTACATGTGTGCCTGTAGTTGCAAACGGTTGCGAATAAAATGGCTCTGCTTTCTTTTTGGAGTGGTTCCTGGTAAAACGTGGCTTTGTTGGCCGGCTCACTCGCCGCCAATTTAGTTTTGAACATGCAGTCAATTCGAAAATAAAATGAGAAAAACGCAGGCAAGCAATAAAGAAAACATTTCGAGACGGTTTATCTATCCCATTTTAACTTTCTGCTTTTTTATTAGTCTTGTTTGGTTGTTGTTGCTGCAAATTGTTGTAGCGGCAAATCTCAAGTGGTGCGCAAATTAGGTAAATCAGTTTGAAGTTCGTTTTCGCCATCTTTGTAGTCGCTGCTGTAACTCACAGCCAAGTGGTTTTGCCGCTCACTGTGCTAACGGTATACTTGAATATTGTATATGTGTGTTTGCGTTTGTAAGAAGGTTTATGTGTTTGGGACAGCAAAGTTTTAAAAGTTAATAATTGTCATTG